ATGTTTGTTTTTATCCTCTGTTGCCATGAATCATTTCTGTTCAAACAATGAAACTTCAACACTGGGTTATCCTCTTTTTATTAAGCATCAGTCAGTAAAAGAAAGGGGGAAAAACTGCATGATAGACATTTTCCTAAAGCTTTTTTGGGACGTTATTTACAAATCCTGTGTCAAAGTTTTACAGCGCTACATGTGTTGGAAAAACAGGAAAGCTCAACATCCTACAAATCCAGCTGAAACAAAGTATGAAACTTTACAAAGAACAACAACAAAAAACATTTCCCCAGACTCAGAGCTGTGTGAGTTCAAACGAGTGAATATTTCCCTGAAGGAAGGGGAAGAGTCAGAAATAGATGTTTGTTTTTCTCTTGAGTGCCTCGTTTGAAGGATGAAACTTTAATTATTTTACTAATTTGTGCTTTTCTTTTCCCTAAACTGTATTTGAATAAAAATATGCTTTTTGTCTGCTGAGGACAAATCTATAAAGTGCAGTTCAGAAACAAAAATATACACATAAAAAGCAATAAGGACCTTGTTAACATTCATCCAGCCCAAAGAGCTGGATCTGGTCAAACAGACTATGGCTTGTTTGAAGGAGAGTCACCAAAAAGAGGCTCGTTTCCAAAGACTTGTCATTTAATGCATGTCTGACTGTCTCTTACACCTCTAACAGTGAAAGTCATACGACCATTTGTCGGGTTGACATTTTTATTTCATTACCATGCAGTGTTGGGGACCGGGCAGCCAAAACCTCCCACTCATCACTGACTGTAGTTCCCAGTAAGCCTGTGGAAAGCTCAGATTTTGCTGGAGATTTTTTGTTTTGTTTTGTTTATTAAAGTTTGTTCCTTAGGAAAGCGTAACGCCATCATACCAGACTGCTTGAATCAGGCTTTTTCTTGTGGATCTACTGAAATATTTGAAGAATCAAAGACGTGAACACATCCTTTAAAGGATGCTGCAGCTCATCAAAACAAAACAGGAAACGACAACCGAGCTCAAGGCCAGTCGTTCCCATAAATAAAAGCCCTCGCGACTAATCTGACTGTGGCTCTATTTGTTTTGTCGTTAAGGAGTGTGACGGTAGACATTTTGGGCAGAGGAACACTTCCTGAAAAGATGCAGAAGTTTTACCATTTTTGTCGCAGTGAATATACTTGTTAAAGAGAAGTAATACCTTATCTGTTGTAGATAACTCTTTGAACAACCTCAGTTTTGAAAGGACTAAGTGTATTTTTTTACCATATTAACGACCTAATGGCTAATTTGAGCAGAACCAGGACCAAATTATATTGCTGTTGACTTGAAACAACTCTCTAGTCCTAAAAAATACATAGTAGTTCCTGCAAAAATTATTTAAAAAATTGTTTCATTTCTACAAATTTTGCATTACTGAATGACTTTATGAATATTTGCAAACTCAAATGGCAGAAATATAACTCTTTCCAAAATAACCTCATATGATGATGTAAAAAATAAAATAAACAAATGGCTATAAACGTCTTGAGTTTATTATAGTAAAACATGCTTTGGAACTTGTCCGACTTGGATCAGATTGACAAGCTAACACTGGCTAGTTTCAAAGCTAATTATTGGTGTTTAAAACTTATAATCCCACAAATGTTCACAACACCTCATGCAAACCCCATTTTAAAATTCATACCTGCATTGCATTAAGTGTTTATTCAGACTAAAATATYCTAATATTCCTGTCTTAATTATCCAACGGAGCAAAAAAGCGCTACCGGTAGCAGCTGCTGTTTTTGCTTTCGTATAATAGTAAATATCTGAAATGCAAAAYTGACAGCAGCATAAAGATTTAAGAGATATTTGATCTTGGAATTGTTTTAAAATGTCAGCTTTGATCTTGGTCTCAGATTATCTRTTAGCTGAGCTCATTCAAACAGATATCTACGACAGGTAAGATACTTTTAATAGAACCCCAATTTAAATGAATTRAAATCTTACRAGAGTTATTTGGTCAGAAGTTGGGAGGAGGGATCATGTCGCTTCAAATTGAGCGGATAACTTCGATTCTCTCTGTCAGTTGTTCACGTCACCCCCTCCTCCCCTCCAGGAGCTGACAGCTGAGGTCTCTGTGCTCCTGGCTGCAGAGGCATCTCAGATTCAGGTTCATCTGTATTTTTTTTTTCTCGTAAAGCTGCTGAGATGCTTCTGTGAGGCTGCAGGGGTCTGATGGAGAAGCTCCCACGATCCAGTTTTGTTAACATCATTTCACGGCACTGCAGAGCCGGGGGGGTCTGCTGCGATGAATGAGTGAATGAATGAATAAACAAATAGGAAGTCTGTAAGTAGTCAGTCTCTACAAAACAAGCTACTCGCACGCATCAAACRTGAGCCATCCAGTCATCCCAGCCATCACCATGGAAACAGTAGCCGTTCCCTCTGAGTGAGTCGGCACCTGTTTGTATTTGTGGACTGGAGGTTGTTTTTTTTCTTCATATAAATGTTTGGTGCGTTTTAAGTGCACAAGAAAGACATAAGGGGGGAAAAAGCTGTGAAATGAATCAGAGGGACAGTGTGAAGAGTCCTTTAGATGCCATTAGGGCAGATTCAGTCAGCAGGGGTAGGCGTTTGTTAAAAGCAAAGGCACAGAAATATCTAACCTAATCTATATCTAATGAAATATTTCTATTCATGCAAAAAAGAAACAAAAAGTTGCTTTGGTACATGTTATGCATGATATGTTGTAAAGTTGGGGAGAGAACGAGCACCAGASTGGGCGTCAAAATTTAGGTGCATAAAAATGAGCAGAATCCACACAATTACAGATGAGGTCATAAGTTTATATCTGCTCATTATGGGAGGGMATGTTTTAATTTTGGGAATTTTGGGCTTAATGTTTTGGATTTCTGGGTTTGAACAACTTTCCAGTGGAAAAAAAAAGAGATAATAGTTGAAATTCTTAAATATAAAATACAGTGTTCCCTCTATTTTTTTTTGTTTTCATCCTCTTTTTTTCTACCCTGGATCCTCCATCAAAAGCTGTATTATTTAGACACCAGGGTATTCCTACATGAGCGGATACAGCTCCCTGAAATACACCAGATTCTGTGGTCGAGAAAAGAAACCATCAAACATTTTGAGATGAAACATCAGAACGTACCACCATCTGTTATCAGAATGAACAATTCTTTGGTTCTTCACATTGCACAAAAAGACAAAGCATCCAGAGGGAGAGACRGTAGCAAACGGTATATAAATATATCTACTGTAGAATATAATCTAATAAATACGACTCCGTTAACGTAACAAAGCACATACAGTCTGCACGACTATGACCTTAGCGCAACATGTTCGTCTAAGAGTTCATTGTTTTAGAAAATAGCTTAAAAAATATAAATAGCTTTTTATTTTTTGTACAATTAGTGTGTGTCCTGGTTGAAGATGTTGCAGTTATATAATAATCCCCCTCCTACAATCTGGATGAACAGAAAAACGGGGATTTTTTTTTTGACTGCTGCCTGTCCAGATATGATGTTTATGCAAAATTCATTTAGTCTGCTACAACCGCTTAAATAAAAAGTAGTTTTCGAAGACAACATTGCTTCGTGATTTGATAAAACCGAAACAGACATTCGGAAACAGACAAAACGGTTRAAAACGGAGTAACACAGTTTCACACTAAACAAGGATCACGTTGAGGTGCTCTCTCATGGGAGCAGGAGCGAAGATGACGGATGCGACCTCACAGTGTCTTCTCGTGTAATCTGTGCAGTAAAAATGTCAACCTGAAGCTACTGAATGGAAACAGACGCAAACACTTGATTCTGCTAAAGGTCAGACGTAAGATAAGAGAGAGGACTATTGCTACATAACGATAAATAACACTATATGTGAAAGGTAATTATTGCACACACATACACATCTGTCAGCCTCAGGCTTTTTCTCATAAAAACAGAAAATGTGGGACAACATGAACTAAGGCCAGTTTTGAAGAAGGAAGGTACAGTRAGCAAACTACACACATTCCCTTTGTAATATACACTGTATGTACTCATACAATGCTGAGAATGAAGTGTGTTTCTCTTTCATACTGCAGTGTAAGGTAGCTCTCCTTAATGTGCCTCGTTTCAATGCCCTTTACGCTTCACTACTGATTTGACAGTCTTTGCTGCTGTGGCTTTAAAGTGGTATCCAGGGCTGTCAGAAAAGGAGGATCTTGCTTATAAAAAGGATGTACTCAACTCCTACAGCTAGAGTCTAATAATTAGATTACAATCTGGGCTAAAAGAGTATGAATTGTAAAAAACGTTCTCAGACAGCGCTCCTTTTATTTCATTTTGAGAGCACACTTTGATCAATTTAGTTGGGAGAGTTTGACAGCAGACCACAGATCTTTTCTATAGTTCCACAAATTTAGTGTTTGTGTTGTATCTTCAAACGCTCCTGCAGTTCTTCTCAGAGTTTTTTTTGTTTAACTTAGGAATATTCATCTCTTCTCAGTTCCTTTTCTCCTTACGATTCATTCCACGTTCATATCTTTAATTGTTTGAGTGACTTGTGTCTCCCTGAAGTGGCTGCAGCTCCTGGGACACGTGGTTCCCCCGCMCCTCTGACGGCAGCGCGTTGTTCCCCAGCTTCATAGAGAGGCCTCCCATGTGGTTGGGACCCTGTTGAAAGCCGGAGAGGTGGCCGTACTTCGGGCTGGCTTTCTCCAAGAGTCTTTGAGTTGCGTTTGTTCCTGAACCGTCGTGCAAGTGCTCCTCCTCGTCCGTGTCGGCGTCGATGAACTTATTGACGGACGAGTCATGGAACGTGAAGACGTTGGGCAGTAAATTCTCTGGGCTCTTGCTAGGAGTCCTGCTGCTGGCCGTGGTGTACATGGACGTCACAGGRCTCTGAAGCGACGAGCTGTCAGAGCGAACTCCTCTCCCCGAGTCCTCGACACCTCTGACCTTAGCTGGTCGGCTCTTGAGTGGATTGTTAAGACGCATGTTGTCTGTGTTCGGGTTCAGCTTGGGTGTAGTGGTGCCGTGTGATCCTTCATGCTCGTTTTCCAGAGTGGGTTCCAGACTGGGGTGGGTGCTGACTTTTCCTGGCTTGTTGCAGCCGGGGCTCTGGGAAAAGCGCGAGCTCTCTGGAAAGTCTGTGGCACAGCTGATGAAGCTGTCAATGCTGGAAATGCTCTTCATGTCTGTCACCACCTCTGCTGTACCCGAGTAGGCTTCATTATGGATGCATCCCATCTCAAATTCAGTTTTCTGTCTGCCTGTTTTGGAGTGTGATGTCCTTTCCTTGCTGTTGATGTTAGGTTGTGACTGTGCCTTGGTCATTTTGTTGTACATCTCCTCAAGATTCTCTGCGCTGAGATGATGAGGGCTGCCGGATGGCTTAGACTTCTCCTGGTAGTTCGACTCAATGGTCTTGGTGGGGCTGCTGGGGTTGATTGGCGATTTGATTTTGGGGGTCCCTTTATTTGGGGACACATGATTATCATGCACCTTTTCCCTCTTTTCATCAGTTTTTTCCACCATCACATCCATGAGCTCCACACCGCGACCAAATGCATCTTTAATGTTCATAGAGATGATGCTACCGTTTCTTTTAGCCCTCTCCAGAGCTTCTCGCCGTTTGATGGCTTTCTCTTGCCTCTTTTGCTCTTTGTAGAACTCTGAGAAGTTATTCACAATGATGGGGATAGGTAAGGCTATGACCAGTACTCCTGCAATGCAGCACAGACCTCCAACTATTTTTCCCAACAGAGTCTTGGGGTAAATATCTCCATAACCTACAGTAGTCATTGTTATGGTGGCCCACCAGAAGGAGGCGGGAATGCTCTTGAACTTTGTGTCCTCTTCATCCTTCTCGGCAAAGAAAACCAGACTTGAGAAAATCATGATCCCCATCGCCAAGAAGAGGATGAGCAGGCCTAGCTCGTTGTAGCTCCTCCTAAGTGTAAAGCCCAGAGACTGAAGGCCCGTGGAGTGACGTGCCAGCTTCAGAATCCGCAGAATCCTCATGATCCGGAAGATCTGTACCACGCGTCGGACATTCTGAAACTGCAGCACACTCTTGTTGGACTCGGTCAGGAAGATGGTGACATAGTAGGGCAGTATAGCCAAMAGGTCGATGATGTTCAGGGGACCCTTGAAGAACTTCCATTTGTTAGGGGAGGACAGAAAGCGGAGTAGGTACTCCATGGTGAACCAGGCGATGCACACAGCCTCCACGTGCGCCAGCTTTGGGTTGTCTGTGGGCTGACCGAACTCATCCGTGTCCTGCAGCTCAGGGAGGGTGTTCAGAGACAAGGCGATGGTGGACAGCACGATGAACAGGATGGAGATGATTGCAAGGATCTGGAAAACAGATGACATATATATTGTCAGAAATTAGTACTTTATGCTCATTCTGTGAGCAAAACCATGAGTCTAGGCTCCAAATAAAAGTCTCAGTACAGGAGCAACAATTCTTGGAAAGGAACATTGTTTCTTTTAGGACTTTAGGAACTCAACACATGAGTGTAAAACTGAAGTTAGAACCAAAACAAACAGCACCCACTATAAGCACCCCTATAGTATACATATGTTTAAATATCTTGATACACTTGAAAAGGAGGCAGACACCCTTCCTCTTTCATTTTTTAATTGATAGTTTTAATTGTGATGCACTTTCGGCATTAATATCATTATTGGCCGATATTGGTCATTTTTAAAATTATCGGTATCGGTCTGGTATGTAAAACTGGGTCGATATTAATGTCTGATATTGATTGCCCACATTTTAGCTTTGTGTTTCTGTTTTGGGAGGGGAGATGGTTGGTTGAGCGGCATCTGTTTGATCATGATGGTGATATTGACGCTGCGTAGCCATGAATAACTGAAGTAGGGAGCCATGTCAGAGGTCTGGYTGTTTAATTACGGTATCAAAAAATAAAGACCCAAGTATGTTTGTGCGTATATGTATAATAKAATTTGTTTGTTTGTTTAATATTGGTTATCGGCCATTACAGCAATAATTATATCGGATATCGATATCGGCTGAAACTCGCATATCGGTGCATCCCTAGTTTTAAAGCAAAGAGTTGAAACTTTGGAAAGTCACAACTTTCTCACTAACATCAAACTCCATCTAAAGTGAAATATTCAGTTATTATATCAACACTTCTCTAAGTTTGCATTTYATTAAATTATTGCACACATTGTCCTGATGCATCTCAGTAATCCAGGTAAAAAATCAAAGGAAAAAAAATTGTATAGGTCCTCTGGACGGGTTCTTCTTTAATGAAACGTTTCGTCTCTCTTCCAAGAGACTTCTTCAGTCTGAGAGTTTCAGGCAAAATTCAGGCTTTTATGTCCTGCCTCCAGGTGACTGATACTCACATCACATGACCATCGTTCACAGGTGACTCATACTCACATCACCTGGCTATGGCTCACAGGTGACTGATACTCACATCACATGGCCATCGTTCACAGGTGGATGGAGGTTCGGATGGAGGACGGTTGGAAACTGGCGTGTATCGTAAGCCCACCCACACAGACCAATATTTGCGTTTTGACTCCCACCACCCACTGGAACACAAGTTAGGAGTGATCAGGACTCTGTACCACAGAGCAGACAGTGTTCCTACAAACCCAGGAGCCAGGCAGAAAGAGAAATCACACACACGACAGGCCCTGGAGCAGTGTGGTTATCCTGACTGGGCTTTCCTGAAAGCAGACAGGAAACACAGACAGGATTCCATGCAACCTTCAGGTGAAAATGAAGACCCCAAACCCAGACCCAAACCAGTGGTTATTCCGTATGTTGCAGGTGTTTCGGAGAAACTGAGACGTTTATTTTCTAAACATGATGTCCCAGTAGCTTTCAAACCCCAAAACACATTACGGCAAAGGCTGGTTCACCCCAAAGATCCGGTGCCCCGGCACAAACAGAGCAATATTGTATWTGCTGTGAAGTGCCAGGAGGACTGCGACCAGTTATACATCGGGGAAACAAAGCAACCACTGTTCAAAAGAATGTCCCAACACAGACGAGCTAATTCTAATGGCCAGAACTCTGCAGTTTTCACTCATTTACAGGCCAGCGGTCACTCTTTCAGAGATGAGGATGTTCTCATTCTTGATAGGGAGGAACGTTGGTTTGAGAGAGGAGTAAAAGAAGCCATTTTTGTAAAGAAAGACCATCCGTCATTAAACAGAGGTGGGGGCCTCCGTTTTCAGCTGTCCCCCTCCTACAGCGCTGCCATTGGCAGTATCACTCCACCCCCTGTTAACAAAAGGGATTAATTAGGGTGAACGATGGCCATGTGATGTGAGTATCAGTCACCTGGAGGCAGGACTCAAAAGCCTGAATTTTGCCTGAAACTCTCAGACTGAAGAAGTCTCTTGGAAGAGAGACGAAACGTTTCATTAAAGAAGAACCCGTCCAGAGGACCTATACAATTTTTTTTCCTTTTATTGCACACATTCAAAATATTTATTGGTAAATATTGTTCCTCAGTAGACAAATGCTTTAACAAAATGAAATACATTGTTATCAGCTCAATAGTAATTGACTATTTAGTAATTATAATTTTCCACTGACTGTCAAACTCGGTATTCTGTGGGGTACATTTAGAAAAAAAAGTGACGTGTTTGCTTTTACTGAACAAAAAAGACCTTAAATATTAAAAGAATCGTAAGTAAATATGGAACCACCTGGGTTGTCTCTGTGTGAAAATTCATCACTTTTGTTGTAGCTGGCACCACATTTCATTCTCTTTCACATTCAAAACCCAATTATTCAGAGTCAGACTCACAGGAGAATTACAGTCCATCCTGGCAGTTTATCAACATTATAAACAGTTTGCGTCATGAAAGGACGCATTTAGCTTTTTTGACGTGTACATTTTTGGAAGTAGCTAAAAGTGTCTGAGAATAACCAGCATGGCTAAAGTTAGCTGCGCCCGTGAACTATATGATGAAAGTCGTATTAATGTGAAGTACAACAGCACTTTAACAAAGTCAGAGAGGTCCGTCCCCCTGAAAAACTTCCTTTCAAAATGACAAAGTGGTGTGGCTTCATCTGTGACATTCTGCTGTGTTTCAGAAATACCAAGTGAAGATGTTATCTCATGATTTTGTAKTTTAGCTTATTCAACTTCCTGAAGAAAAGAGGCCAGAGATATTGGGATGTCAGAGGCAGGCATTCTCTGTTTTTCTTTCTCACACTTCATGTGTTGAACAAAGCACAACATGCAGGCCAGTGGAGACCTTTGGAAAGGTTAGCAGACTGCTAATGATCTAATCTGCTGAGTACAACGGGATCCGGTCATAGTGCTGGGGATTAAGAAGGCTGGACACAGTAGGGACTGCAGGGCTGTGCCACACCTATTATTCCTGTCCCACGCTCGCTATGAAATCCAACACAAGGTCACTATGGAGGCTGTGTCCCAGGCGACTGGTGAGTTGGATTATTCCCTGGTACCAGTCAGCCTTCATAAGCTTTAATTAATGTTGACAGGTGACTCCTTCTACACCTACCTTGGCCTTTAAAGAGAAGGGGAGACTCTCAGAGGAAGGAAACTGCTGTGGGGATGATGAGACACAACTGGGGAGAGACTTGCTTTAAGATAGCTCACAGATGAGAGCAGGAAAGGCAAACAAAACTGAAAATCATCAGAACCTTCACAGGTAGAGCCTGTAACCTGATTTGGATCTCCATAAACAAAATATATAAACTCAAATAAGTTGTTGAGGTCAAATTCTTGTTACTAAAAATCATCACACTACAGAGAATATAACAAAAGCTCAAGAGTAACAACACCTATTTTAGTGCTAGTACCATTGCTCATCACATCCTAAGACATGAACTGAAAATACCAGTTTGTTCATGTTCAAAATGCCAATAACCCTCCAGAGTTAGTTTTGGTGTTCCACAGGGCTCTGGGTTTAGACTTGTTCATTTTTCAATACTTCTACTGAAAAGTATCTAAAAACATGTGTTTTCACTGTTATGTACATGATATTCAGCTAAAGCTTCTGATGCAACCAAATTCCACTTTATGTACGTTTCTGCTTTTAGGACCAATGTTGAAGCATCTTTTTATAGATTTTGAGTAAATGCTGCCAAATACAAATTAGCAGTCATGTTTTTGCCTCTGTCTATGAGYGTATGTGTTCATTTATTTGTTGTATTAGCAAAATATCTGATGTGCCACACTGTTAGGAAACACAAATGTTTCTAACTCAGCCAAATTTACAGATGTTGAGCTAAAATGTGGTGTTTTAGTAGCTGGTAATCAGTTAACACATAAAGTCTACATGTTGCATCTTTGCCTAAAACTTTGGTGTGTTGGCGAAATACCTCCTCGATTAATAGGTTTTAATGAAAAGTTAATGTAAAGTTTTGTTTCTGAACAGCACTTGGAGCTTGAGAACCACTTTAAGTGGACTGATGCAGTGATAACGATAAAAGCTATAACAATCAGTGTCACTACTGTCAGTAATTTTTGACTAATTAGAGGTGCGTTCGTTTATCAGAAGGAAACAGCATGTTTGAGCTGCAGCTGTAAGCTGTGGTACCCGGTGGAAAACACACTCATCAGATCAAGGCTTATCTTCCTCAGCCACTCTGTCCAGAATGGAGTACAGTTAATGAATCATGCCGAGTACAACAGACAGGAAGCAAACCGAGGTGTGTTGTGTAACCAACACCTGATGCACTGTCACCCCCGAACCTCCATCAAATTCTTACCCTCTGTAACCTTTTCACTGACAGTGAGCTAAACTGGGTCAGCCAGAGAGGAGATTATGGGGAAGTGATCTCTCTAAAGATACTCAGGCAGAAAGCAAAGTCTGCTGAGGACATCCTGCACTGAGACACAGACAGAATAAAGAAATACCAAACTGTTCTTTCAGCCTAAACCTGTGAAATTCTTGTTAGGTAATGTAAATCTTTTTTTCCCCTTTGGGATATGGAGCACTGCAGAGTCTCAGGTTGTTTCTAAAGGAGCTAAAATGTGAATGTGTAAAAAAAAAGACAGATTTTCTGTAAATTAAAGGTTCAGTATTTCTTGAAGGAATGCATTTCACCCACCATCTTTTATATCAGAGTTTCAGACTGAAATTGTCTTATGAAATTAAATAATTAATTAAATAATTAATCACAGTTTTGGTCAAACGTTTAAAATAATGTCATGCAATGGGATGGACATAGTATGTGCTGTAATTGACTCAGCCACAACAACATCAATGTTTAGCTTGTTTGTCAAACTGACTGAGTTATAGCCACATTTGTGTTGTCTAAGATTGATTAGCTGTGGTGGCCATCTTGAATCAGGTTGACTCTTAAATATAATCAGGTATAGAGGTGC